TCTTCCTTCATGAGGTCCGTGATTTTGATGATACTGTTTACTCATTCTTGGTAATATTTTATCCAAGTAGGTTTTTTGAATCGAGCTTTGCAATGCGAAAAGATATCACACCAACACGAGGGTGTTTCGAGGTAAGAATTCTTACTGGATAAAACTGTTGAGGGTCCGTATCCGAAGTGCGCTGACACTAGGTGTTGCTAATGATTTGAATGAGATTACAGTGCTGATGGAGCAGAACAAGGACGATTACAGAGTAGAATAATATATTTTATGTATTCACAATAGTTGTTTATTTATTATTTATTTAATAAAGTAATATTTTTTGTTGACTTCCCTTTGACCGTAGCTGCGTTTCAAGCAGACTTGTTATGTTTATCACGTCTTTTTTTCTAACGTAAGCCGTTTTAGAGAAGCATTTGCTTTCTTCTAATTTGACGCGATAGGTCATTTACTCCAGAGATTACTGAGCTATACATTTTTATATCAAATTTTGCTTAGTAACGGCCATTGGATAATTATTACTTAAATCACGCGGTCCGACTTCATTAATTGTAAGGGTGTCCTTGCGATTTTATATATCGAATATGTTAAACTAAAATTACACGTCAATGAACCGGCGTTATACCATGTTAAATGATTTGACAGATGGAGGCAGTTTCTCGGTGCTATGATACAGGTTAAATAAATTACCTAACTTCAAAAACGCCTATTACTAAGGCTTTTGCATTCGAAATTGTAGAAAGAACTAATCCGAAGGAATGACAGAACAAGTAAAAGAAAATAAAGAGTTATTTGAAATTTTAATCAACTAGAAAATTTGAGTTCTAAGCATTTGAAAGTAACAATTTTATTAATGTAATAGAATTTTGGGGCGCCCTGTTGTGTAAAAGTACAAGCAACAACATTCATAATTATTTCCCAATGCCTCAACTAACAGAAAAAAGCTGGACGTAAAAAAAACCTCTAAAAAGTTTAAGATATAAACTATGTCGAGATAAGAGCGGTACGTTTTACGTATAGATATTGTTGTGGAAGAAGCTTATATCTCTGTTTGCATATTTGTTAGTGGTTTCATTGTGTGTTTTTTCGTGGCAAACATTTTAAACCAACATAAGATCAAATATCAATGACGATGTTAAGTGAAAGAACGATACTATTTAATATTATTCTCTAGTGATTATAAAACGATATAAATGAATGGTTTAATAAATATGTCGAGCAACTTATCGTTCGCTGCGACATTACCATCGCTGACTCATGTTAGATTGTAGCAGAGTTTGTTAAATAAAATTTGTTCTCACTTGATAATGTTCTTATTCGATTTGTTTTTACTGATGTTTACTGTTTTAGCATTCCAACATTTGTACACAAACTGTTGGTCGTATTTGTTGCACATCACGCCCACGTGTACATCCCGCTGATCATAAAAATTTACTACTCCTCTTTTGCTCGATATTCAAATTGCTCATAATTCAGCACACTTTCACCATCGCGTCTTTCGTACTCTCTCATAATGACGGTAAATATAATGTAGCGAGTGACCCTGGGAATGGAATGCAAATCGCCGAGAATAACACATGTTTCGTTATTTTGTCAATACCCGCAGTTTCAACCAGTCAATCCCAAGCCGTTCCTTCAAGAACTCACAGGAAAACCCGTCGTAGTACGATTAAAGTGGGGTATGGAGTACAAAGGCTACCTAGTATCGGTAGACTCTTATATGAACTTGCAAGTAAGAACACAACTCTGCAGTGAATCTCAAAGATACCAAACCCGGGTAAAAACTGGTGCTAATTAGTAATCTCTCGTACTAGCTCGCGAATACGGAAGAGTTTGTCGACGGTCAATCGACAGGCGCATTAGGTGAAGTTCTTATAAGGTATACGTCATCGAGTCTTACGGGTGAATTGGTCAGAAAAACCAGAGTCAAGTAAAGCGATAATTAACAGTTAAATCTACTCATCCAATAGATGCAATAACGTGCTGTACATTCGCGGAATTGAAGAAGACTCTGGTTCTTAATAAATAGAGAAAATTTTGAGCATCAAGAACAAAAAGTTACTCATAGAGTCCTAAGATAAAAACGCATGTTTAGCGTGATGGCAAGATCAATTATCATCGCTCCCCATTTCGAATGCACCATACTGTATATGCCGTTTACCAAATGAACAAGTTGGGCGTTCTTGCCTTGTACCGGGACCCGTTATTGTTATAAGCAAGCATGTTTTCATCTTTTATCCAAAACAGTTATGCATCATACGATATTTGCACAAATCATGATCAACTCTCAAATAAACATTGAATTGAATGACGAGTTTTGATAATGAACGCGAACCTTAACCTGTCAATATAAACGGCATCTCTTGGATGTATACAGTTGGCCGTTTTGATCATCGAGCGTGCTAATATGAGTATTAATGAGAGAATTAAATCTTTGAAGAGGGATCTTGGACATGTGATTTATGGAGTTTGATACAATATCTATCATATATAAGAACTTTTATGCTAAATTGTACATTTATCAATAATGGAAATCATGCATCATCTTTAGTTGACTTGCATTAGATCCGGATTTAGAACATCAGGTGAACATACTGATATCATTATGGTTCTCTCTCTCTCTCTTTTCCTTTCTTTCTCTTTGAATTAAATTCATGCGTCCACAAGGCTAAGGTGATCCGTAGTTCGCTCCTTGTCTGTCACACTCTAGCTCCAATACTCGTAATATCAATACTCAAGTGAATTAAAAGCAGATGGCACACAAAGTTTGCAGTGTTGCAAGGTCAGCATCTTTTTGGCCTTTGGAATGTTGTCATTTATTAAACAATGATATCTTCTAACATAACCACACTTATAGTCCATGCGCTTTGTGCTTTCGCTCTATTAATAAAATAAAATTATCAATGAATGCTTTTCACTGTTGCAAAAACGGATTAGCGATTTCTTCAGAGCCATCGACAGGCGATATTAATATCACAGCGGGGCCACGGCAGACTATCAAACCAAGTTGACGCGTTTCATTCGAAAGTTTGTTTTCTTCGAGGTCTACGAACGTTTTGTTTTTTATAACGGTAAAGAGATGGGGTTTGCAGGTCAGGGAAATACTCGTAAAAAAAAAATATAGAGACGGAAAGGGAATATCGGTTGGAATGAAAAAGATAGACGTGCAAAACGGTTTTTGTGATAACAATAACAGATTTTACCGCGAAGATTTTCTTCAGTTTCGTCCAATACCAGATTCAACAGTGGATCGAATCCCTTTAGTATCCCGGTCACTGATATTAAAAAACATCATTTAAAAGATAAGTAATCCGCAAGCATAAATAAACTGACACTCTACGAAAAACTCGTATATATTCAAATACATCTATTCATATCCCTTCAATTGCCTCTATTGTTTTTTCGGCTCAACTCTTTTTTTTTTTTCTTTACAAAACTCACCTTCCCTTCCACCATTGAATTTAACACGTATTTTTTTCTCTGTGTATTTTGTAAGATCGAGAATACTTTCCTTCTTGGGCTTTTGATCTTGTCCGAGCGTGTTACCTGTTCTGCTTCCACCACGACCTCCACCTCGAGATCCTCCACCTCGAGAACTGCCCCCTCGTGAACTACCGCGGCCCTATCCGGTCAAAAGTGCAAGCATTATTACGAGCCGGCGAGAGTAAATCACAAGTCAAGAGTTACATGCAAATGTCGCTTACTCTTTCTGTCATATTTTCTTTTTTATCCCAAAAAGTTCAAATGATATATTTACTTGGCTCTCCCCAAAAAACTACATTCTCGCTCTCAATCACATGATCTCATAAATAATCTGATCAATTTAATCACGTGCCAAAAATGCGAAAAGCAGAAAAGACGAAAAAAAAAATTTTCTGTTTATCCCCCTTTCAACGTGTGTGATATTCTGTTATATACGTAGGATGTCGTTATTCAGAGGTCTCTCACGAGTGAATATTGCCAGAGCAACACGAGTAAGTTTGTAATTCAAGCGTACTTGCTTTGACTGCGTGTCGTGTACAGGACGACTTGTCTGACCGCATACTCATGACTTGTGACATTACGCGTCCCATTACTTTGTGCGCAGAGTTTCCATACCCCTCCTGCGGATGAGGGTATCAGTAAGATATCAAGCTTTTTTTTTTCTCATCATTCCACCCCTGCGTCATTTCCATATCCAAGACATTTGCGTTTGTTTTTTTCGTCATCAAATGCTGATTTCTCTTTTTCTCCAACATTCGTGTCACCTATGTGAATACAGTACGAGGTCTTAACAAGGTACTCCTCATTGGGAGAGTGTCTAGCGATCCAATCCAATCGGTGGGGAAAAATGGTGCTCCGCGAGTAATGTACGATGTGGTCACTTACAATCCAAAAAGATGTAAGTCGTTGAGCGGATATGCGCAAAAGCAAAGAACTGTTTGCATGTTACGTGCGTGCTGCTAATAAATGTATGCTTGCTAGATCCGTCATTTCACAATATCGTATGTTGGCAACCAGCACAGATACCGGCAATAATGGAGAAGTTCAAACGAGGGTGAGTGGAAAAGTGGGGTTTGACTGATCGTGTATTGTGATGATAGATTGCGGCTTTTTTAATGCGTGTATTCGATGTAATTGTTTTTTACTTTTTTTTTTCCCTCACAGTTTATTAATTGGCAAAAATACTGACTAATTTGGCCATATATTGGTAGATTACTTGTCTATGTAGAAGGAAAACTTATTAGTAGACAAGTCGTCGATGAAAGGAGCGAAAGGAAAGTGATTACGCACGTCGTCCAAGGTAGGCGAGATTGCAGTACTATGCAAGTTAAATAGCGCGCGTTTTTATGCGAATCGACTTTGCAAATACATTAACACATATCTCTCTTAATTCGATCCGATATCTTTGCTTGATGTAGACGGCTTCCAAATCTTGGCTCCAGAGAAACCTTTAGAGGAGAGACCAACTACTAATACAGAAATTCCTGCTACAGAATCAACTACAGAGTCTTCGGAGGAGGCGGAACCTGCTCGTTATCAATGAGCGATCTATATACTTTGCATGTGCAAGACCTGTGTAATCTCCATTTTGCGTTTAGATGGGTTATCTTTGGATGGAGTTCGTACATAATAGATAAATAAAATGTGCTAAATATGATTTGTACTCGTTTCGACTCGCGCTCATCAATGGGCGATCATAACCGTGATCATGAGACAATAACCTCTCTTCTATTGATCGAGGGTCAGTTTCCAGGTATTTAACATAGACGCACTGATTGTGTTCATTGATCGACATTTGATGATTATTACCATTACTATACTAATACACAGATTTCGAATAATTACCTCGCCATTATTGTCGCGTGTAACCAACACCTGTCGCCATAACCCAGTTATCATTTATCTTGAGTTGCCCCCGTTTTTGTGTTTGTCTACCTATATTAATATCTATAACGTCTAACAAACCATTTGAATTGATGTCATAATTCCTGCCAGAAGTATATTCACCCCTCAAATTTACTGTGGAATTATTTACATGTATATTTCGATTACTTAATTTAGCCAGCATTTTGCTGTAATTATGATTCAAATTGTGATTGACGCGTGACATGACGATCACCGTTTGAAAATGGGGAAAACATAGACTTATAGAATCTATGTTAATTTAACTGTCGCGCACCTTTCCTTTTTTTTTTTTTATCAATTACCACTCAGATTACAAGCTTTCAAAAAGTCTAGTCGCTAATTGCGAGATGATGTGATTGATTTAAATACGTAACCAACGCGTGTTTTATCCGTACACGAGCGACATATCGTTTGATGATGAATTTAGAATATTCTTCACAATAAATCAGACGTCGTAAATTGACGTGCAAAATTAACTGGCCTTATGAATTATAAAGACATCAGCAGGCGTCTCATATGCTTCAAAAGTGTTAGGATTATATTATTTCAAATTATAAATTACAGCATATTGACTATACTTCATTACTTTGTCATTATTTAACAATTATCATTACTATTTAGCAAGCACTGCATCCAACACTAGTCCTTTCCCCCCCCCCCCACCTACTCCATCTCCGCGCAGCCTGACAATTAGCCTCATTGTTAAACCTCCGTCCAATCATCGAACGTTTACCATCTCACTTCTATCATACAACTTTTTTTCCCCCCATATTGTCCTCCAACTTTGGCCACCAATCAGGTAAAAATGGCCTTACTCTGAATTCATCTCCTTTTTGGGCTTGTTCCTTTTTCCCTCCGTTCCCACCACTATCACCACCCATGACGATCAAATCTTCCTTCTCCAAAGCATCCAATCTGAATAATGACAATCCAACATTGCATCTTGTAACTCTGATCCTACCCAACTCTTTTCTCTTTGTGTCCTTTGACGAATAAATAACACTGCCCGGATGTACATTCAAGTTTTCAATAGTGCGGTCAATGGACAATCGGTCCGGCCTTGCGTCATTGGATGCATAAAATTGAACGGGTAAAATGCGTTTCCGCGTGACGCCAGTATGATAAGTTCGAAAAGTCAGTTCTTGTCCCAAGTAACAGCCTTTTCGAAAATCAATTCCGTCCATGTAGTCGAAATTAGACTGTAACGGAAGAGCCTCGCCAGGCGGAAAGTCGATTATTCCCTCGGGTACACCATGGAGTATCCTTCGTATCGTATATTCTTCTGGAGGCAGTTGCGTGAAATGGGATGGAAGCGGCGGTTTTTTCTTCTCAGATGGCAACACTATTCTGAGTCCCATCCCAGGATACCGTCGATCTCTACATCCTATTTCGTCTAGACCTTCTTTCAACACCAATTCGCTTGCCGTGATTTTATTAGCTGTCGGGTTAGGTATCAGTCTTCTCCACCAGAGATTATTTACGTCATCGCCCCATACGTTCCAAATGTTGTATTCGCCAGATACATCTTTTATGGTTATTTTTGAACGAAGTTTGTATTTATTGAGATGTGTTGCGAGAGAGGATAATACGGCCGAGTCGCATTCGATGAGGTATATAGGATGAGGAAATGTTCGATTTATACTTTTTGGATATATGAACGCATCGTATAGTACTCGTCCGAGCGAGTTGAGAAACGCAGTGTAAAATCCATCTCCGCCTGACTGCAATGCATTCATGTTATTTGTGATGATGCCTTGGAGGAATTTTGCTGAATCATTGCCCTCTATTTCGATAAGACTGCGATTAGGCACTTGCACAAAATGATTGCCAGCGTGTTGGGCATGTTCTTTTTCGGATGATTGGAGAACGGGAGATGAAGCGGTAGTCGCGCTGAAAAGTCTAACTTGGAAAGAGAATGTGTGGATGATGCATTTCTTATGAATTGGAAGCCGATAACTGAACATTTTTTTTTTTTACAGGCCTTTTTTCCCTATTTCTTTATGGTAAAAGTCTGCTGATCATATATAGACTCGTGATACGGTAAACGTATTATAACGCCAGCTACCATGTTGTAGCAACTACTCCAAGATCTTCAGAAATTGGTTACAGTAACGTGACCGTATGTACGACGTCTTCAACTTTGAAATATTGTGTCGCAAAACACACTGCTATCGGTTTCCGAGCTTTAAATATGATGACGTTAGCAGAAAAAAAAAGCCGATTACATGATAACATCAATACAGTCAACTACTGTCTATAGTCACACCTTTTGGCACAATGCAATTCGGAAAAGTGGGGATTATAGACAGAGGGGATAATAGAAAGGGGAAGCAAAATGGCAATGGGAAATTTGGGAAAGTGTGACTATAACCAGAGTTTTTATATGGTGTGACTATAGAGGAAGAGACTATAGACAGTAGTTGACTGTATAATCAAAATTTAGCACAAAACAAGATGTTATGCTTACTTTTATTTTAAAGCAGTATTATAACGGAACGATATCAAACAGCCGTATTGCTTATTTGAAAGTCGGAAGGAGAAAACTTTCGCAGTGTTATTTATTCATTGCATTGGTTCGATTATTTTTCTGAGGATTGCAAAAAACATTCGAGTATATAAGACAGAATAACATGCCCAGTCGAAAGTGTAGTTGTAATGCTGCGGCTAAAAATAATCCTTTACAAATAGATAAAATAACGTCAAATGTATACATAACTCATAGTCTACGAGTGACATAAACACCATTGGTCATGTGCTTTGATTAGGGTCTAGAGCGGTAGGCTAAAGCTGAAGTTCCAACACATATCCGTACAAGTATGGTTTACATGACGGAAGATATTTGTTAGGAACAATCAATCACAAACAAGTCAGCCCAAATGACACTAATGAGTAGTTCTGTAATTTTTCAACGATCTCGTTATTTATTCATATCAAATACCATTGTTTCTAGTTACTACTCGGTTATCCATATCTTTTCTGAAACCATACTTTATTCTTTTTCTTGTCGTGACATATTTGTAGATGCTTTTGATAGAGTTTTCTTCTGTCGGGCAAGTTGAACTCGATTGTCGTTATGTGAGAAACTGATATGCAGGGTCGTTATTATGATTGTGGCAAAATCTGTCTCGTTTCAGCCTACCCAAGTTGGGTAAAGCTGTAACGTATATGCGTAAGTAAGTTTGTCATGCTTTTTGGCCTTGTTCTTTATCGGACCAATTATTATCCCTCCTCATATCGAAGAAAAACTACAAAACACTATAAGAGGCTCTCTATATTATGACTATTATTCTATAGAATATTAATGCCTAATTTAGTTAGAAACATTCCTGGGAGTTATGTTGCCTCTTTTACTTTGTGGCGTTTAAGAAAAAAAAAGATGACAAGCCAGTAAGTTGCGAGAGAACCGAGCTAGTGCAAAATTATGCTCGCTGTGTAACCGCATATTAGCTACGACCGGTATGCAACTTGTTGGTACATGCTTTGAAAAAAAAAAGAGATTGAATTTTTTTCCCAAGTTCATTATCCGTGAGAATGTATTTGTGATCGTTATTGTTACTGAGCATATACCATTGCACACATAATATGTATTTATACATCCGACGTATACCCAGATTAAGGTCTACACTGGGAAAAGTGTAAACCAACATTATTAAATAATGTGTGAAACTTGAAATAAACTTTGCCAAGCTAAAAAGCATGTGCGACAGTAGCGGCAGTACGTTGGTGATCACCAATTGCCAACACAAAAATAGCTAAACAACATGCATTTTAGTTAACCGCAAGTGATAGACAACACAACATTTTCAGTGAATAATGTTTGAATTGACATAATGCTTAAATGGCGCGTAAAAACAATGGAACTGAGAACCGAACCAACTATACGAAAATTTGGAAAGGTAACTTTCAATGACACTAGTCGAATTGGAGAGAAGATACTATTGCGAGGGAATCTTTGTTTGTTTCCCCGAACACAGATCATGGGACTATTAATTAGTTCTGTGCATTGTAACACTGCGTTCATATTCACAAGTAATCAAGTTACGACCTAATTGTGTACCACTTGCCTGCGCATTGCATACTTGCCAGATAAAAATGAACGGTTCTCTCAACTTTCCTACTTTCACATCATATCCTTGATAACCCATATCAATATTGACAATATTGAGATGTCGCCAGTAATTGCAATCAGTTCACGTGCTGTCACGACCGCAGACTTTCAAGAGTTCATCGGAACCCGGTCTGTCCAAAGAGGCTGGGATGCTCTCTTTAGTCTTTGGATAGTATGGTCTGTTACGTGGTGAGTTACTTGTAAACAATCAAAGAATTATCAAGTACTTTGGTACTAACGTTTTATACTTAGGTTGTTGCGACTTTATTTCTCACACTCAACCAAAGATGGTAAAGATGACAAAGGTGATAATGATTCCAAAGATGGTAAAGACGGTGATGAAACGTCCAAAGACAAGCGTTGTCGCGTTAGTATACATTCTATATTGCTTACGTTGATACATCCTACCCCCCTCACACGCACACACGTAAGACTAACCCGCATTTTCTTGTCTCACAGAAGGCAAAGAGACTTAAAAGAGTCCACAAAAAAGTTACTCACCTGTTGTTGGGTCTCCTCACGGCCCTGACCTTCAATAGTTTGGCTCACGGTTCAACTGATGCGGTCCAAATTCTTAGTTGGGTATATTTTGGAGTTGGTCTATCCTGGGTACATTCGCTGGCATGGGCTTCGAAAGGAGGTCGACCAATATTCAGACTCGTGGGGGGCATAGTTCAAACTGGCATTTTACTTGCCATCTTCATTCTCGCTATAATTTGTCGAAAAAAGAACGATTGAAAAGCAGTGTGTGTTACAATTTGAGGCTGAAATAACAGCGAATAATGACGATTTAGATTGCACCATACCAGGGTTTTCTTTTTTGTGTAACACGAACTTGTCTTTAATAAATAAAATTTCATGATATTTATGTCATGTTTACCTATTCTGACGATTTTTCGAGTAATCAACATGAAAGGCGGCGCTACGCATTATAAATACACCAATCTGTCTACAGGCCGCGAGTTTTCATAAGCGAATAAGCGTAAAAAGATCTTGCTTTCCCCATCGTTTCAAAACATTTACTCATGACGTCCATGTCCGGCAACAACCCTTCAAATAACGCGAGTGATCGCTATGCAAGCGAAAGTTTTGATGTATTTACCAGAAGCAAGAGCGTTCGTAATACGTTTGCCGCTTTCTTTTGCTTATGGGTCATGTGGGCTCTCTTATGGTGAATTCTTTTTTGGTTTTTAATCGTTTGGCAAAAATGGTCTCGAATCTAAAACACATGATGCTAACGGGAATTTTTTAATTTTGCAAGGCTGATGAGACTCTTCTTTTCGAGATCGGCTAAAAGTGGAGATACAACTAATCACTCATCCGCGGATCGTGGAACAACGACCACTGGTACCGGTAACACGAGAGGACATGGCATTGTTAGTATCGATCGTTGTTTTTGGAAAAATTTTATGCATATCTCAAATCTTGACTTTTTAATCATTTGTTTTGTAGGGAAAGAATATTAAAAGAGCTCATGAATATGCCACACATTTGCTATTGGGTCTGCTCAGTGCCCTTATCGTTAACAGTCTGGGTCGTGGCTCGGGAGTCTCGGTCGAGGTTCTTAGCTGGGTGTACTTTGGACTCGCTCTCACATGGCTTGTCCTTGAATTAATGGGTATACGATTCGCAAGAATGGTTCTAGGCCCAATCGAAGCCATTCTTTTACTTGTCATTTTCATTATCGCGTGGTCTTGGGGCTGGCCTGTATGGCTACCATGATTTAAAAAGCATACGATTTAATTTTATAATTTTTATAACTATTGTTGCTGTGATATTGTTTTATTACACATATTATTTTATTCGAATAAAAATTTAATTGTATAAGGTTTTTCATTACATGGATGCTACCGAGTAGAAACGATTTCGTTTGGACAATGAATGTAACTTCTCAACAAAAATATCAAGCGATGAACGTCATGTGCGACTTTTGAGCTTGAACTTCTGCGAGAGAAGATTGGAATTTAATTTCAGCGAACGGTTTAAAACCATGGTTGTAGATTTGTCAACTACATGATTTTGATAAGTCATTCGCATGGTGTTCAGATGCTGGTGTTGAAGAAATTTGCCAAAATACACAAACCAATTTGACAACCTTTTTTGCCATCAGCGTCATAACGCGTAACGTACTCTATTTGCATTAAGTGTGAATTTGAATACTTCCATTACAGAATCTCTTTTCTTTTAGTATTATTATTCTATTGCTCTTCTTCTTCAGCAGCTTCTTTTGGCTTGTTAGGCTTTTTTATTTTCCCTACTTTACCATTTTCGCTACCTTCCGTGCTGCTCACGGCCTCTCCACTTTTCTGTTCTCCCTTCTCTTTTACTAATAGCTCGACAGATTTCC